TTTTCTTCCCTTATTGGCTCTTTTGCGCCACTTTTTTTCTTTGTATACAAAACGGATTGGCTTTTTCTTGTCTTCATCATTCGGGTAGTTTTTGCCTGCCTTTATGGCTCATGGAGGGTTAGTTACCAAAATATTGTTGACGATATGCATATGAAATGTAAAAAGTATATTAAAAAATAATTAGATGAACAGGAATGTTTCGGTCGATTAAGTTGTGTATGCGTAGCCTCAAATTGATTTTTAGCAGCGGCAGGCACACGACAAGCCGAAGAGGAGCAGTTCCTGGTGAACGTCCTGATATACATCGGTATAGCTTTCATCGTATGGTGCATGGTGTTATGATTTATTCACTCAAAGTGGTGCGATTTGAGGAGGTGCTGGTCATTCACCTCGGCACCGGTCGCTTTCTGCTTGCTTGCTTGCTCTCTGATTAATCCAGTCATTGTCTTTTTATTGTGATATGTTCCATGTGCTCCCTCCTCCTCCTACTGCTTTCAGTTTTGTGATATCAATGAAAATTTATGTTTTCGGAAATTTGTACTATTGCTAGGGACAGATTCGTGTGCAGACTCGGTGGTGGATTTTTGATGTGTGAGATGGTGCAGAAGTGTTCCTCAGTTTCATGTTATTACTTAAGAAATTGACAATTCCAGTGCTCTGTCAGGATATTTTATTATGTCCCATCTGTCAGCTGTCTGAATACCTCAGCATGCCTGACTAATTATCTGTGCTTGATTTCTTTTCACTTTTCATCAGTGCAGCAACAAACCGAGGAACAGACTGTTTATTAAACCTGATACAACAACTGTGACTGAATTGATAATGTATCGAAAAATGAAAGTTACAGCCTTCCGTGGATTCACGTTCCCCTGCAACTCGGAAACGCACGACTGTATGTACTATTAGTCTATGTTTACAGCTAAGGAATAGAACATAAATTGTCTTACAGAAATGAAACATTCACATGTATAGCTGCAAATCTAAGTTGTATACATAGGAATTTGGATGGTTTTAAAACGAAATTCGGTACAACACGTAGGATGTAAGACCAAAACAAAAATCGGCAAATCTGGCATACGTATACGCGAGAAAAAAAGTAAAAGAAGCGGGAAGCGGGAAACGAGTAAAGGAAGATTTTAATTTTTAACTCAATAAAAAGCCGATTTTATACTTAGCATTATATTAGTCAAACGAAAAAAACTCCGCGACAGCTGTCTGACGGTGAAACAGTGCTTGTGGTTCCTGCGGAACAGTGAGACTGTACATAAATGTGACGAACACAAGGATAACTTATTAAAGACAATCCGGAACAACTTAATCCATCCGCTTCATATTCAAAGCGTTTTTGGCAGTAGTGCAACGCCAGCATAGGAACGGGGCTGGCCGGTCGATACACTGAGATGTGTCCATGGTTGCTGCTTCAGCGAAGAGACGGCCAACATCTCAACAGACCTCAAATTCGATGTGCCATCGTCGCCTAAATTGTAATGAAGCAAATTATCCGCATGAATTCGCGGAAAAACCGTTCTTTCTACTCTAAAAAAGGATTGCGAAGGGCGCGAAAGAAGCAGGGACGGTCGTCAAATTTTGTTTTTTTTTTCTTTTTTTAATTTTAATTTGCACTGCGTCCTTGAATAATAGGCTGGAATTTTTTATCAACTCAGTATGCTTTTAAGAATTTGACAAAAGGTCTGGACGAATGTATGTGGGTGTTTGTGACTGCGTGTGTTGTGTGTGTGTGTTTGTTTGTTTGTTTGTACCTGCACGTATGTGGGTCGTGAAAACTTCACAAACACAGTACAGGAGGGGTAAAAGGAAGGTACAAAAATCGTCATTTGTATCATAAAAGCAACAGAAGTATCTTTTAAAAAGTTACAAAGGGTAAGCGACACATCCATAAAAATTCCTCAATTAGAACTTTGAAATACAAGAACACTGGATTCCGCTGCTTCTCTCACTGTAGCCATAAAAGAAGCAATTTTTTGCTTTATTATTTTTCCGAGTGTTTCTTTGGGGGCATCTTTACAAATTGGCCAACTTGATTATGAATACTTATATAAGCCGAATAGTATATCAATAATACCAGTAACTCGAAATACCTGACCGTCCCAGCTGCCTTGTTTTTCTTGACATTTACACGTTTAAACCAAAAATATGTTCTGGAATAATAAAACGGAGGAAAATCAGAGAAAGAAAATAAAATTAAGGGAAAACGTAAACCTCCAATGGCAAAAAGATTTGAGCCGAAAGCGATAACGCTGGCATTACGGCGACACACATGCATTTCGGGCAGCATTGCCCACGTATCGTTGATAAGGATCTGAAGAACCATTAAGCAAACTTAGCCCAGCATTCCATACAACGCAGACTTAGTGCAACATGAACCAAAACATGAAATACTGTAAAAATTTCCAAAATTTTACGGATTTGAAAATTTGAACATTTCATAAAACCAAAAACAAGGCA